TTTTTTTTTTTTTTTTGGCAATAACCAATTCCTTTAATGACTTCCTTCTCAACCTAAAAGATATACTTTATTTCTAGACCAGAATTTTCCACCATCTTGTAATTAGATTTTTAAACGTTGAGCAGCCCACATAACTTCCAGGGCCATCCAACTTCCTCCCCAGAGCGTTCGTTGATAGAAAATCAATCTGCCGTGTGTTCTACTTCATTTTTCTAAACCATTACCAAGGGATAGGACCTATTTCATTTTCTCTTCAGTTGCAGAAGAACTGAATGTTGACTGGATGAATTATATAGCTATAGACCATATTCTTGGAAGGTACCAAGGCACAAGCTTGATGCAGTATAAATTCTCAGATGTCCACAAATCAATTTCGTTCCTCATTAGTCTTTACTTACCCACTAACACAGTGATGACTTTATTGCTGGCATATTGTTCTATCTCCCGCAGCCACTCAGGAAGGCAACGGAAAGATTCCTCACAGGTAATGTCATAGGTGAGGATCAAAGCATTGGCGCTTCGGTAATAACTCTGGGTAATGGACCGGAATCTCTCTTGACCTGCTGTGTCCCAGATCTGTAGCTGCAAAGGCGTAAGAGACAGATTAGGTTGGAGAAGCAAAAACAGAAAGCATTGCCTTGCTTTAGCTTAGAAATGAGAACCCTTCACCCAAGTAATTTTATGATTATTTTCTGCCCTAAGAAAAGGACTTGTAGTTTTTTAAAAAATTATTATTGTCACTATTTGTTGGATGTTTCCAGCCAGGGAGAAAAAAAGTTTTTTTTTTTGTTGTTGTTGTTATTTAAGTGTTTCCTCTGTATTCCTACAAATAAACAAAACTTATTGAGTGTTTACTATATTCCATACTCTATTCTAGGCACTTTATTTGCAGTACCTCGATTTTCACAATAACCTTATGAATTGGGTACAATTACAATACTCATTTCTCAGATGAGGAAACTGAGGCACAGAGAGATTAACTTGACCAGCATCTTACAGCCACTATGTCCCAGGGCCAACTCAATCAGGCACTGCCTGTGGTCCCACAATGCTGTATTACAAAAGTCTTAATAGAGGGCAATCTGTCTCCTGTGACTATTGGCATTTCAGTCAGCAACTGAAGAGAGAGAAAAAGCCAACCTCACCGCCTTTTTCAGTTCAAAATTCAAATGAATGTACTAAGGTATTATCTTTGTACATGAAAAGAAGAAGAATGCCACACCAGACAAACCGTAATTTCCTTCCACATCTTTTAAACTCAGTAACTTTGGGCAAGTCACTTAATCTCATAGTGCTTGGCCCAAAGCATCTGCTATAACACAGTAGAACAAATCACAAGGTTTTGAGAAGTAACACCAGTAACAATAATCATCTTTCTTTCTAACTGTACACATTTTACAAGTGATAGGTCCATTCATCCCATAGACTTAATGTCACTTCCTCAGGGCAGACCTGGAACCTTTGGATTAGGACAGGTCCCCCATCTGTCATGCCAGTCTCTTTTGCAACATATCCTGTCATTCTCCTTCATGGTACCTGTTACACTTGAATTGTTTATTTATTTAATATAATTTGTTTAACATCTGTCTTCCCCATTAGACAGAAAGCCTCATGAGGAAGAAGTCAGAGTCTATTTTACTCATCAAATACAGTGTCTGGCAAATAGTATATGCACAAATATTGATCGGCAGTCTTATTTAAACCTTGCAAAAACACAAGGAGGAAGGCAAGTTTATGCCTTCTGTTGTCAATGAAAAATGTCTCCTCACAGGTTACTCACAAAGCTGATCTAGAAGACCTCTGATCCCAGGTCTTCTATTCTGACATAAGGACACATTCTATGCCACCACGCCACCTTTGCTACCAAAGACTAATTTAAATGCAATCTGTATCCAAAGAGGATGAATCAGTGGTGTCACCCTCTGCTCATTCCAGTTCAGCTAAAGAGACTGATGAGTGACCAGTAGCCCCTGCCACAAATCAGAGGTACACAGGCTCTCCTTTGACTTGTAATTATAGCTGCTCTTTGATGATATACATAAGTCTGTGTATGCTAAAGGCAATCATACAGATGGCATGGGTTTTGTTGAGACAAAAGCTATTTCTCTTCAAACCTTCCTCAAACCTAAGGGCGTGATTCTGCACTGCCAGCATGTCTCAGAATAACAAATGATTGATTTAAAGCCACATTGAGCCTCTAAAACACTTGGGATTGGGTTTAGAGTCTGCCAATCATTAAAAATCAGTTCTCGTGACTGGCAAATCTTTAGAACAGCTCTTAGTGTTCAAACCACTGAAGTATTTTCTGGAATAACGATTATGTGGCCTTGCCAAGATATATGCTACTTTCTCGTGGAGGGCTGCTTGTTTCTTGCCTGACAGCTGATTATTGAGGATATTTCTAGTCCATTGCTTTACAACTCAACTTGGGTTCATTATTTTCTATAATTCACTTGCTTTTTTTCCAGGATTTATAAGACAGTAATACATGCAAGGCATTGTGCTAGACACAGCAAGAATACGAGATAAACAAGAGGAGATCCCTAATCTCAAAGAGCTCACAACCGATAGGAGGCCAAATACATAATTAATCAACTGTGGTGTGATATAACATGTTCTGTTGAGGACCGCCAGGTGGCATGGTGGTTAAGGCACTGGAGTCCCACATGGTCAACTAGATTGAGTCCCAGACCTGGTGGCTCGCTATATCTCTCTCTCCCTCCACCCCAATCAAATTAAAAAATAATAATGATAGGGACCAGCAGGTGGCATGGTGGATAAGGCGCTGGACACTCCCACATGGGCAATCATAGTTTGAGTTCCAGACCTGGTGGCTTACTTTCTCATTTTCCCCTTCTCTCCGTGTCTCTCTCTCTCTGGTCAAATTAAAATAAATGAATGAATAAATAAAATTAAATAATTCTTTTTTAAAAAAATATGCTCTATTGAAGTGGTACCAGAAGGAGAGAGTATATCCTAGTGTTAGTCTCCTGCCTGTTAAAATGTTGTCAATACTATAACCATGGATAGAAAAACCACTTGCACCTCTAGGACGGGACTACACTGTTTGCTACTCTCTTCTTTACACCCCTATTTAACCTCTATTGCCTCACTGTCACAAAAAAATATTGCAATCATTGATTGACTAGTCTGTTCCCTTAGTAGCCTGAGTTCTTTGAGGTCAAAGGCTGTCTCTTATTTACCTTATATCCCCAGTGCCTTCCTAACACAGTACATGGTATATGGTGGGATATTTAAATGGTAGCTCACTAACTGAACAAAGTATTGTGAACAAAACACAAAGGAGGGACTGATTAATTCTACTTAAAAGCTTAGTAGGGTGTTAAAGAAGGTTTCACAGGTAAAATGTAATTAGAGCTGGATGATATCAAGTTCTGAGGGGGCAAAAGTGATTTATCTACCATAGTGCTTGGCCCAAAGCATCTGCTATAACATAGGATAGATGGATACATGGATGGACAAGTGGTTGAAAAAACAAATGGGTATATTACTTTATGACTCTTTTACTTATGCAACATAGACTGGATTAGAGAGAAATATAGCAAATATTCTACTTTTATTATAATGAATTTCCTTGGGTTAAAATGTTTGAGACTGAGCTTAGAGTTTTGCTTATCATTAATTTGTGATGGACTGAAAAAGCCAATAAAAATTTCCTTTTTTGAATTTTTTATTGTGCTGAAATACACATAAAATTTATTATCTTAATCATTTTAAGTATGCAGTACAGTGGTTTACATTTTAATTATATTTATGTTTTAATTGATATTATACTATGGTTATTATATTTTCTACCCAAGGTCACTGGCACAGACCACTTTAAGAGCCTCTTTTTTGGGCCAGCAGATGGCACAGTGGTTAAGATATTAGACTTCCACATAGCCAACCGTGGTTCAAATCTCAGCTCTGGAGGCTTGAAGAACATGCTGGGATCATATGTCCATGTATGCCTCAGATATCAACAAGATGGAGAAATGGAGAAGGGATTGTAGTGTGACCACATCCCATTGCGGGGGTACTTTCTCCCTCCCTCTGTCTTCTTTCCCTCTTAGTCTCTATCACTCCTGCAAGTGCACATGCCCTAAGGCAAAAACTTCTTTTTAAAAAAGACACAACCTCTTTCTTTACTTACTTAGCACTTACTTAAGTTTTAATAACTATAAGAATCTTTCTAATACCTTGGTTTCCCTATCTTCAATACTGAGAGTTATCCTTGAAAGAATACTTGTAGTAGAGGCCGAAGGGTGTGCAGAGAGATCAGAAGAGAGATGCAGTTCTGGTCCTGGCCCTGCCACTAACTGGGGCCGGTCGGGGGGTGATGCTGCATAAAACACTGGCCAATTCTCTGTTCCACTGGTTCATGGGGCTCTGGGAAAGCCTACAGACTACCACAAAAAAGCTACTTAAACATCACGAAGAAGAGGCATTTCGAAAATGTTAAAGAAGAGGGCAACAATAAGGCAGCAATAGTTTCCGTAGCGACACCAGGGCAGCTCTGCCTTTTCCTAATAAGGGACTAAAGAAGTTACTCCTCATGTGTCCACATATTAATGAGACCCTTGAATTAATGTGATTGAAGAGGGTCATTCTGTATCTTGATTCAGCATATTGGGCTAAAAAGATTTGGCAAATTGATTTGGACTGGATTTGGGGAGCAGCCATCTCACTTTTTATAGATAAAGTTTAAGAGGCCTAAAGAAGCGGTGGGGAAGGAACTATGCTGTAAATACAAAACGAATGAGACACAGACCTTGTTCTTAAGGAGACTGTGATTTTATGGTACAGTCAGAAGTCATTAAGAATGAATTTTAGCAGAATACAGTAAGTATAAAAATGAAGTTATGGTTTGCAGAAAGTAGAATAAATGAAATATGGGGACAGCAGGTGGCATGGTGGTTGGGGTGCTGGACTCCCACATGACTAACTGCAATCTGAGTCCTGGACCTGGTGACTTGCTTTCTCACTATCCCTTTCTCTCTCTCTCTCTCGTCAGATTTCTTTAAAAAAAAATAAAATTAAATAACTAAATTCTTAAAAAGAAATAGGTGAATGGATACATAAGCCTGGGGTTCAGGAAAGAAAAGTCTATCCTTTAACAGGCTGGAACATTTCTTATTCACCTTTGTTAATGGCCAGTGCCTGACATGGAGCATGCACTAGCATTCTGGGAAAACAAATGAACTCACACACACATACACTTATAGAAATGGGAAATTCAAACATCTATAAGCAAAATGCATGGAGGAGTCATTATCTTTACCTAACTTCCTGGATTGGTAACTGTCTCCCTTCTGCTGAAACAATAGAAAGTTACAAAAGGCCTTTCCTGCCAATGCCTCTCGAGCTCACTCCTGTCTCCTTGGCGTCCCCACACCTTAGTTCCTTCTCCCCACCCCAAATGTACTATGATTTTTTCACTTTCTGGTTGGCATTTACATGGATCTCACACCATGCTTTTATCTTCCAGAGCCCCAGATCTTCACTCACTTGATGTAGATGGCTCTGCAGTGAGGACCTGTTCTGAGGAGACACGACTGGCAAAAATACTGGAAGAGTTTCTACCCATCATTCAGAAGCCTCATCCTAAATGCTACTCTGTAATAGTGAGTGTCTATGAAATGCTGCAAGAGCATCATAGAGCTTCTCTGATCTTCTCCAGGCACTCAAAGGAAAGGGGGCAAGTACATATGGGAGAAGGAGGAAAACAACAAGAACCCAAACTTGTGATGCTTGATTGGGGTCTATCTAAAACCTTAGTGTCAGTTTCCATTGTGCTGCTGATAGCTGGGTTCTAACTTCTTCCATGGTACTCTACTCTGGAAGATGTGACGATGGAATTTCAATAACTCTGAAGAGCGGGTTGAGTGCGGTGCCAAAGGTCATATCTTTACCTTCTGCCCATGTAATTTAGTCTCCCTTCGCGTTTCCTTCCTTTACCTTCCTCCTTTCCTAAGACAATGGGCCTAATGTGCCTTCATTCCCCTCTTCCCTCATGCGAAAGGCAACTACCCGCAGACAATGGGGTAGACTGGCTGGCAAAACTGGTTCATATCCTGCCTGCTTCCATTCCTAACTGTGTAGCCATGGATAAGTAAGTTGTGTAACTACTCTGACGCCTGAAAAACATGGATAATACCACTTACCTGACAGGGGTTACAGTTAGGATTAAGCTAAATACGAGTGCACATGTAAAAGCACCAGCAAAGGCACATCGTAGGTACTGACACCCAGTCAGTAGGTACTTACGCATAGTAGGTACTCAGTAAAAACTGTCTCCCTTCTCTGGACATACCATATTTCTTCCAGGTAGCAACCCATTTGGAAATCACAAAGGAGAGACAGAGTGGAGATCACAGATCCTTTCCTAGATCCCTCCTCTGGTGTCCCTCCATCACCAGGGATGAGTATGGTAGGAATAAGCCTAACTGAAGCAAATGATTCATAATGAAATGACCCATATTGAATGGAGGGATCAGGCAATCTTCCATGGATGGGGCTGCTGTCTATAGGAGGTAATAGTACTGGCCCAACTCAGTAGATTCAAAAAGAAATATCTTCCTTGTTTTTATATTACCTCTGACATGACAGGAAGCAGAACAAACTTGCCTCAGCCCTTCTTTCTCTATCTCCTTATCTGTTATCACATCATCCCAAATCCCTTTTTGCTCCCACTAAGGAACTAGAAGAACTCTGGAAATAAGCTGCCATGGTTGAGTGTAATGTTTTCAATATGAGTTTCAAATAAGAGATTTAATAAATGTTCTGAATACTCTACTTCCCTTAAACTTTCAGAGCACAAAGAATGATTTTTTGGTCATTTAGCTTCTTACCTTCACTTTTTCACCATTAATCTCCACTGTCTTAATCATAAAATCGACTCCAATTGTGGCTCCTTGACCTGGGGGGAAAAGACCCTAAAGAAGAAATCATAAAAAACAACAGTTAAGCAAAGTCTTCAATGAAATGAAAGACAGCAGAGTAGAAATAGTGCTACACCAGGAGGCACCAGCCTTGGGATCTCTGTGTGACCTTAGACAAACCAGTCTCTTCTCTGGGCCTCAAATTCTATGAGCTTAAGGGTAATGTAAACATGTCAAAAATTTTATAAAAGCTTTACCTCAAACTGTTAACCAGAAAGATGGGATGTTAGCAAAATTACTTGTATGATATAAGTTACTATTACATAATAGTTCCTGCAAGCTTAGGGAAGGAATTGAGTAAACAAAGAATTCTATCAAGAAAGAACTTTTTAATCTGGATTCAGTAGCCCAAGCTGTGAGGTGCTACTGCTTGAATATGAAGCCATATGGGAGGCCTAAGTTTGAATTTTAGACCAACTGGCGTGCCTGTGATGGGTGGCACTGGTTGGAAGGCCGAGGCAGAAGAACCACAATATGACAAGACCCTGTTAGGGGTGCTGGTCTCTCTCTCTCTTTCTCTCTCTCATACACATTTAAAAAAAAAAAAAAAAAGATAAACTTTTTTTAAAAAAAAGAAAAAGAAAGAACTCTTTACCTAGTTTCACATCCCCCTTCACTCATTCTAGAATTTCCAGAAATTAAAGTAAAATAGACTTTAATAGCTCTGGCAGCTAAGATTGGGACATCTTTAATTAAGTCCATTCCCTCACAAGAGAGTTCTTTAATTAGAGTTTGAACTTAAAAGACTGAGCTTCAACCCAACAGAAAATGTTCCATTTCATGTCTTTGAAAGATGTAAATATAAACATTCATAACTTTACTTACAAATATTGAATCAATTTTCTTCTGTTTTGGCTTGGCTCAGATATACACGCTGCCAAGCTTCAAGTTTATAGCTCCAGCTGTTTTGCAGCCTAACAAATGCCAAAATAATAAAACAAATCCTTCCCAGTGCTTCTTATCATTTTGTTTCGTAATCCCTCCTACCTCAAAAACAGCTGAATTCTTGGTGGCTTGAGAAGCAGGCTGGGTGTGTATATGTGTGTTCCTAAACTTCTCAAAGGAGGGAGACATGGAGAAGGGATTGTGAAGCAACCATTCCCTATGGGAGTTCTTTCTCCTCTCCCTTTTTATCTCCCCCTCCCAATCACACACACACAAAAGCTGAATCCAGTTCATTTTAACCATCTACAAAGAAACAAAAACAAACATAATCCTGCCAATAAAATATAAACTTTTGGGGGGAGGATAAGGGGTAAGGACAGTAGAGAGTAGGTAGAAAAGAAATATGAGAAAGAAAAATAAGTATGCTTGTTGGTAAAAATGGAAGCATTTTAACTCTGGCAGGGGGACCAGCAGTTAAAGGCTATGTCACTGGACTCCCATGTAGTCGACTGCAATTCAAGTCCCGTGCCCAGTGGCTTAAACTCATGCCGGGTGCTTGTGCGTGCCCAAGATCCTGAGAGGAGAATGAAGGAGAAGAGATTGCAGCGTGGCCATCCTTCCTGCGGGTGGGGGGTGATTCCTCAGTTTCTGTCTCTGTCTCTGTCTTTCTGCTGAGCGCATGCGCCGTATAGCAAAAACCTCTCCAAAAGAAAAAAAAAGAGAGAGAGAGAAAGGCCAGGTTCCTATGGTCTGGAGTTTAAAACATTCTAATGCTGGCCTCACTGCTTTTATGTGAGATCCTAAGCAAGTCATTCAGTCCTTCTAGATCTGAGTTTTTCATATGTAAAATGAGACGAGTGGATTGAATAATCTCTAAGCAACCTTTCAGTAATAATATGAGGTCTAAGGAATTTTTGATAAAGGGACTGAAAACTTTTCTACCTCTCTGCAGTTCTACATTCCTGTCCTGTCAAAAGCAGAAAGGGTTACTAATGTGACGCAGAAGAAAAACCATTTGGAGTTTCCAGTCTAACTTCATGATGCTTCACTGAGCCCAGATGCCTGTTAGTTTATGACTTTTGATTTCACCAAGCCAAGCGTTTTTTACTTAGTAAAAAGCTTGGGTTCTGTTCTGTGTTTATTTATCATGGGGAAAACCCTGACATTTCCAGAGAGACTCCGGGGCCCTAAAGCTATTGGTGTTATCCGATCTGACTCCAGTTTTTTGGTTGTTTTTTTTTTTTTTTTTTTTTTACAAAACCACAGATGTCAGAGCTGGAAGGGGCCTTCGGGCTCACTACGCCCTCCTGTGAAGTAGGGGGCCAGGTTAGGGGAGGTAACTTACCCAGGCTCACAAAGCAAGCCAGAGACAGAACTAGGATGGGGGCCTACGTCTCCACTCTCGAGTCAGTGCTCTTCTATGGCACTAGGCTGCCTGATGCCTTAGAGAGAGGAGCTAGCCTCAACTTTCCCAAGGAACCCTTCCTAAAATGCAATGTATCTGCAGGATAGTCCTGAAATGAGCACCTTTCCTGTTTTTCAGGGGAAACACAAAAGAAGGTCAACTTCAGAATGACGTCTCACTAATTTCTGTATAAAAATAGGTGTATAATTTCAAGCAGTAACTCTCAAAAGGGCAGCCCTACAGGGAACATGTACTTAGGTCAGATGATAAGGACTCAGCCCAGAGGGAACAGTCAGTTCAGTTCAGAGAGTTCTTTGCTATTCTCATTTTATTCCCATTGAAGAGATTTAGGAAATCAGTATATTTGATTCTACATCAAAATGGTGCATTCAGTTTCTTGAGAGGATGTGAAAAGGAAGGGAGTTGGTATGGCTTAATTTGTATTTGAATTTAAAAAATTATTATTTAGGTTCAAATTTGAAATCCAGATTCACTTATATCCACCATTTGGATTATTTTTAACAAATAATCTATTTTTTAATCACTAATGTATTTTTAAACTGCACACTGCAAGCAGAACCACTTGCCCCTTTCATTACAGGAAGCACAAACAGGTGTGGGAGGGTTGGTGCTGGTTCACTGAGCCATGCTCTCTCAAGATGGTTTTAAAAACTGGTCAAAACTACAAAGCTGATGCATTGTTAAAAGGGCGTATTAAGAGCTCACAGCCAGGAGCTGGCAATGCAACCAGTCACTCTTCCCATCAGCTTCCCCTCAGCCCACCGGCTAAACTGTGAACCTCAACCCTGGGCTTCTGAGAGTCCTCTTACCTGAGTGAATCGTCGGACTAAACACGTCTTCCCCACACCGGCATTGCCAATTAATACAATTTTGAACAGGAAATCATAATCTTCCATACTCATTTACACAGCTGCAAGGCAAACAGGCAAGAGTGAGAGGGGCCCCAACAGACTTGTCCACAGAGCCTAAGCTGCACCAGTGGCGTCTCCTGGGGAACAACAGCTCTGACTCATTTGAAGAGCAATTTAATGCTCCCTCCTGGTGACTCTGCCAGCGACAGAGGAGCCCCAGGTGCTTGGTCACAGATGGACTTTATTCCTTCCCAGCTCATTCTCATGCCACGGAGAATAAATGACACAGATGTCCTTTCACCTGGTAACCTTTATTCCTCCAAGCAGTCAGGTCACAGGTGGCTCCTGTGATAAGATCTGTTTTTTGGGTTTTTTTTTTAAAGAATTATTTTATTTACTTATTATCTTCACATGAATTTTGCCAGAGAAAGGAAGAGTGAGAAAGCAAGCCGCCAGGTCCAGGACTTGAACCGTGTTCGGCCATGTGGGAATTCCAGCACCTTAACCACCACGCCACCTGTTGGTCCCCAAGATCTGTTTTCTTTTAGCATGGAAAAGAGACCCTAAAACTATATGTATGCAAGCTGGGGGTGCAAAGAAGCCAGGACAAAGGAGAGCCACCCAGGGCCGAAAGCTAGTTGACGGGCTATGGATGTCTCTGGGAAGAGGTGCTAGTGACTAGGAGCTGAATGAAAGGGAAGGAACTATGAAGAGCCCTTTTAGTTTCTTCCAAGTCCTGGGGATCTTGGGGTCTCACCAGTGGGAGTTATGGCCATCTTTCCCCTCTGCCACTGCGTCATTCCTACACCTCCTACTAGCCTCACTGAGGCTACGGGGCCTCCCCAAGTGCCTGTCTTCTCATTCTTTTGGGCTCTGGTACATATGATTTCCTGTGCCTGAGATGCCCTCCACGTCTCCTACCCTTTCTGCATCATGAAGTAATCCCAGGCCAAACATCTCTTTTTCTCTGAATCTTTCCTAATCTTCCCCAAATACAGTTAAACACCTTCACTATTGCTCTATCCTAAAAGTTTGCTTGCTGTATACAATGATTTGTTCAAATGTCTGCCTTATCCTTAAAGGAAGAGATTATGTCTTTCAGCTCTATTTTCCTAGTCCCTGGAGTCAGTTACACTTAGTAAAAGTTTACACTATGGGGCCAGCAGGTGACGTGGTGGTTAAGGTGCTAGACTCCCACATTATCTCACTTCAGTTCAAGTCCTGGACCTGGCAGCTTGCTTTCTCAGTTTTCTTCTCTCTCTCTCTCTCTCTCTCTCTCTCTCACTCTCTCTCTCACTGTTTCTCTCTGGCAAGCACATATGCCCTACAGCAAATTAAAATAATAATAATAATTCTTTTTAAAGAGTTTACACTATAGAAGAAAAGAATTCATCAATGGGTATATTGCTAAAGTGCAGGCCTAAATTCCTACACTTTTAACTAAATTGAGCTAAATGAATACTACATACTTTATTTCAGAGAATTGTTGTGAAGATTAAAGAAAAAGAAAGAAAGAAAGAAAGCTATACAAAAGGGCCTTAGTACCCATAAGGCTCTATCCTGGTCAAAGCAATTGTTATCTGTTGAATGCTTACTATAGTACTGTGCTGTCATCACAGGAAACACAGAGAGGAGACAATGTCTGCTCTCAAGACCAGTATGAGAAAAGTTGAAGAACAACAAATAAGTTAAATAATAATTTGAGCCAACCATAGAGCTCATTTCATAAGAGCAGGCAGAACAAGCCCAGTGGACTCCTGTAGAAGAAAAGGACAATCGGAGAACTAAAGAACCTTCAGGGTCACTTATACCTGCAGACCTGAAGCTCGAGTGGCTGCAGGCTTGCAAGGCACTGAACCTCTCAAAGAGCTCGGGCGGGCAGGAAGTGTTGGGGTGGGGGTGGGGTTCCCCGAGTACCAAGACGATTTCTGTGTGGATTTCAACTTAGAAAGATGGTTGAGGACCACACCATCATGCAGGTGGCACCTCATGGGCTTCCATTTTGATTCACTGGGATCTTGAAGAAAAAAACATTCCATTGATCAAGAATCTGGATCCATAAGCAGTGATTGCTCTGGTTATATGCCGGGTAGTATACTTGGTACTTTATGTATATTACCATTTGTTTTCAAAAGTCTGTGGGACTGCTTTTTATCAATATACTACCTATTTTACAAGTGAGTAAACTGAGATTAAAGGAAATAAAAAAGGGTGACCCCATGGAGCCAGCAGGTAGCATGGTAGTTATGGGCGATGGACTCCCACATGGTCGACTGCAGTTCGAGTCTCAGACCTGGCAGATTGCTTTCTCACTTTCTCTCTCTCTCTCTCTCTCTCTCTCTCACTCACTCACTCTGTTCCTCTCTGGTCACATTTAAATAAATAAATAAGTAAAAAAAGGGAAAAAAAAAAAAAAAGGGGGGTCCCAAATCATAAAGCTAACAGCCAGGCTTGAAGTTCCAATGGTCTGTGGTGTCATTAAAAGAACTCTAGTTTTTGGTACCAGCCGATGGTGTAATGGTTATGTTGCGGGACCGCCATGTGGGGTGATTTCTTGCTTTCTGTTTCTCTATCTCTCCCTGGCGAGCGCACATGCCCTACAGTAAAAATCTCAAAAAAAAAAAAAAAAAAAGAACTCTAGTTTTTGAGCCAGACAGGCCTATGTTCAAGTTCTCACTGTATGATGCTAGCAGGTGGCATGGTGGTTAGGGGCACTGGATTCCCACATGGCTGACCACAGTTCAAGTCCCAGACCTGGTGGCTTTCTCACTTTCCTTCTTTCTTACTCTCTCTCTCTCACTCTGTCCCACTCTGGTCAAATTAAAATAAATAAAGTGAAAATAATTCTTAAAAAAACACAAACAAGGGG